TGTGCAGCTGCAAGTACCTTTACATGTATATTAGTTTTACCCCATTTATTCCCGTTTTACAAATGAAAAAACTGAGTCATGTAAAGGCTAAATAACGAGCAAGCAATACTACTAGTAAGTAGTACAGTCAAGACTCAGAATGTGGCAGTTGAGGGCATAGCTCAGTGCCCTAAAATCTAGACTGTCTTTCCTGTTCCACACTATAAGGCTGGAGCAGAAGAGTCTTACCACTCTGTGATGGCAGTGCAGAAAACAGGTGGAAGACAGAGCCTATCAATCCTGGAAATAGCCTGTTGCAAGAATTAAGGCAAGAGATAATGAGAGCCTGAACTTAGAGCAAAAGTATTTAGGAGTAAAAAACACAGAACTGAGTCTTAATTTGATGGAGACACTAAGGAGTTTCTGGATTGGAAAAGTGGATAGTTACTGGTACCATTAATTCAGCTTGTTAATAGGGAGGATTCCTTTTGGTACAAGTTTCGTTATGGTATCCATGGACTACTTGGGTAGAGAGGTCTAGAAATAGCGGAATACTCAGGTCAGGAGATCAAAAGGTTATGCTTTAGAATTTATCAGCTTGGAGGGCATCATTAAATTCCTCCTACAGATATTACCAAGCACTGAGAGCCTGCAGTGAGATAAGAGGGCCATGGAAGAAACTCCAGTGAACTGCTGCTCAAAAGATAGCCCATCAGCTGGCTGCCTGTACACTGACTGTTTATTATTAGTGCAGGGTAACAAAGGATTTGCTTCAGAATGTAATCGACCATGTTACTAAATAATCAACCATGTTACATACTGTTTTCTTCAGCTGACTATATTTTTAGTATTAGCAAGACTTTTAGATGAAGGAAACATTGTGTTGATTAATATCCTGATGCAAAATCTGTATCTTGTCCCAGATCAGCACTTCCAATAACAGGATGTAGAGAACACCAATATTCACACTTTGGTCAGAGCAGAAGCCCTCCAAAGAGACTGATGAGGGATAGTGTAAAGCAGGAGAAAGGGAAGTCAAGACATTCTGATATGGACATGATTTAAAGGAGCAAGTGGTCAGTGCAGCTGCAGAGGGATCAAACAAGATTGAACACTAAAAAAATAATTATTGGACTTGGCCATTAGAGGGTCATCAGTAATAGTTTAGGGTTTTACCCCCTTTTCTTTCACTCTTCTGCCTTCTTGAATCTGTATTATTGCCATGTAGACCAAATGCCTCTTGACTCTAAATCTAAAGTACTCAGATTCAGTCTTTATTTAACCTGTTTCTTGGGTGATCTGAAGTTATTGATCACTCTCTCCTTCCTGACACACTTTTTCATCTGCAATACATTGACTTTGGTTTTCCTCTTCATACCTCACCCGTCTTTCTCTGCCCATCCCTTGTACACACACTGCATTTCTTTAACAACACTCATTTCCTTAATTACATATGGTGTCAGTTTCCAATCCTAAACCCAGCCCATATTTCTTTCTGGAGCTTCAGAGCAGTCTAGCAGCCTACTGGGCATCTCTACTTGGATGCCCACAGCCCATCCAAATTCAACATGTTCAAAGCTGGACTGAATCCTCACCTATATTCTTCCCTATAATGCCGCCTTCTTCCTAAGTCCCGTACCTTGTATTACAATCTTCACCCAGTTGTGAAACCACTGACATGGGCATGATGTTTTACTACATCTTTCTTCCTTATCCACTTAGTTGTTGATTTTACCTCCTAATGACACTTCAGATCTCCTTATGCCCAGCACCTACATCACCATCCCTCACCTGGATCACTGAATTATCCTCCTGGCTGGTCTCCCGTTCTCCATCTTCTCTGCAGCACCCTGCCACGTGGAGTGGGAGCCCCCACTCCCTTGTTGAATTCTTTACCTGCCACTCCAGCCTCATCTCTGTGTTCTTCTGTAGACTCAGGTCAGATTGAATTTTTATTTTCATTTCTTAAACATGACATAGGCTCTCGCACGCGCTTGCTCTTGTTCACTCACTTGCTCTCGCACTCTCGCTGTCTTTCTCTCTCTCTCTCTCCCCCTCTTTACCTTCACACATACTTAACGCTGCATCTGACACAGTCATATTCCCTCTTCACTGCTACATTTGTCCTCTGTCTTCAGGAAGCTTCTGTAAGCCTGCAAATCTGAGTTATGTGGACTTCCTCTGTATTCTCCTAGCATTCTGCCTTTCCTGTATTGTGACCTTTTCCACATTACTTTGTAATTTCTCATTTTTGTCCACAAGTCAATGCCTTCCTCTGAATTTTAAGCTGCAAGAGGCAGGAACCATTTCTCTTTGCTACATCATCATATTTCATGCTCCTGGTACAGAGCCTGCATGGTGTGAACGTGACATCCACTCCACGTTTATTAAAATCAGTGAATGCCCTCCAAAGTATTTTCACATCCAGTATCTCAGTGGGGGTAAACTTGAACAATTTGGAGAAGATTTTAGCGAAACATGAGCTGTCGGTGGATGAGAAGATTAAATTATTTGAGTATTTGAGTTGTTTTGCACTAGGAGGAGGAAGGAGAAGTTAGAGTCTGGAAAGCTGGTTAAGATAGTAGAAGCATTTAATTCCACCTCGTAGAAAAGGAAGGGATTTTGAAAAATAGCTTGCGTCACTTTTATCTTCATCTTCCTTCTATGAGTGGAGGCCTGCAAGGTAGGAGTGTGGGTGTATTTTAATATTTAAAGGTGTCAGGTTGTCTATCTTTTAGGGTTTTTTTTTCCCTTCACCTGGAAAAACTTTAGATAACATGATTTAAAACTTTCACTTTATACTTTGCGGAATGAATTTATTTTCTTTTGGAAGAGGCTTACAAAAGTAACTCATTTCATTATAGCTGGTCTGTGTCCAAAAAAAGTAATAATAACAAAGATGAAATATATTTTAAAAGATTGAGTATTTAAAGCAGGGATAGAGTAAACATTAAGAAATAAAGGAATGAGCCATCAATAGGAGGAAATCTAGGCTAACAAAATCTAGGAAAGATAAACGACTTTTAGGACAAAATTATACTGTCAGTAAGTCAAGGAAAAAGGTGTAACATGCTAACTTACATTGCTCGATGTCTTTTAGCTTCTCTTCAAATACGAACTTCCAAAAGCCGGAGAGCTCCCAATTCAAGAGAGATTTTGTAGTAAAGTACTTGAAGTGCAGGTTGAATTCGATAGTGACTGTACTGGTTGTAAAATGAATGCTTTTTATCGAAATATGTTGAGGAGATTGATGTGTGTTTTGTCTCAGATGGTGAATATCTGGTTCTGCATGGAGACGTACATTGCAGAATATTTTTTAAAAAGGAAGGCCAAGGCTTTTTCCTCAAAGAACAGCTTTGAATCCACTTGACTGCTTAAAATTCTACTCATTTGGAGCTGCTGATTCTCTTTAAAGCATGGAAGAGAGAGGCTCAGTTTGGAACATCTTAAGGAGAGGATGCCCTAGTTATCTGCCTCTGTAATAAAAGACTATTAATATAGATTTAGAGAATGATAGCTGACTAGCCAGCAGTGTATTGTAATGGTTCTGTGAGATGAGTCAGCTTAAAAATGCATCCCAAATAATAAACTAACCCATGGGGTGGCATCGATTTGGACTTTCTGACTGTAATTAATAAGCTTATAGGTCGTCATGGTGGTTTCTGGGTGTGAGAATCACATGAGTAGTTTAGAGGAGGAAGTTTGCCATCTTGTTTGTTACAGAAGAAGACTCTTGCATGTTTTCTATAAGTAATAGGAATCTATTTAGGTTTTAAGATTAAATAGGAGGTATACAGCTGTCTCCTGTGACAAACAGAAGTTTATTCTGTCAAAGCCTTTTCCTATCTACTCTGACTCAAGGTTTTGGAGAAGCACTTAAGCGTGAAGGTAATCCTGAGACCATGCAGTTTGACACGTGGATGACCTTCTTGGTAGAATTGAGGCCGATAGTGTGTTAATAAAGGCTACCAGGCCTTCAGTTGTTCTCAGTGGTTTTCTGTTTGGTGAAATAGACCAACCTCAACAACATCATAGTGAGAATAATCATTCCTCATCTTAGATGGAAGGATTCCAAATCAAATCTGGTACAGAAATCTGGAAAAGAGTTTGTGGGGTGAGCCAGCTTTTTGGACATCTGGAATTTGGGAAAAGAGGAGATATTCTGATGTATGTTTTGGATAGACTAAAAAGTACTAAATTGGTTCACGTAAATGGCTTTTTGTTCAGTCTGAACACAGGATAAGCATCTTCCCTAGCTCCACATCCACTGCCAGACTCCTCCTTCGAGCCTTTTGGGGGTTGTTCTTCATTTTGTGGTTTCTATGTAATTATTTCAATGGCTTCTCTGAGTTACCCAGATGACTACTTTTAATATGCTGCCTGGTTTTGGATGTTTGGTTCAAAGAGACTAGGACCGAGGACGAGTCGGTGATGGACAGTGTGTGGAGTATGGGTATTGTCCATGTATCCGCCCTCCTTTTATCTTGTCACCCGCTGGTTCTCACATAAAATGAGGGAGAAAATGGAGAACGTAAAATTTTCAAAGAAAAATCTACCTGATGACTCAGTTTTCCCTGCCCCAGAGCTGGTTTTTCTTTTCACCTCTTTGCATGCACCAGAAGCCTTTTTGTAGCTGAGAGAGCCGCAGCTGAGGCAAATGTGTGAGCCTCTCGGTATGGCCAGGTGCTGTGATTGGAATGAATGAGAGAAGCGGGGAAAGGCGTGGGGAGCATTCTCTAATCACAGAGAACCACATGGAAGATGCAGGCAACCTTGTACAACCTGTTGCCTCTTACCATCAATTAAATTTTAATTGCTCCTGATCACACTTTCTTTCAAAACAAATCTTGTAATCAGATATCTTATAAATTATTTACCAGTGCAAGTGAAAGACGATGTAGGATTTCAGCAGAATGAAATGTGCTTTACTATTGAAACTCCCCTTATGAATTTAAACAAGATTAATCTTGGCACCATGGTGATAGAAATAAAAGATGAAAGTCCTTCCTGTATTCCTACAGAGTACAACACAATCCACAGCCCTTCAACACCCATTAAAGATTCAGATTCTGATCGATTGCGTCGAGGTTCAGATGGGAAATCACGTGGACGGGGCCGAAGAAACAATAATCCTTCACCTCCCCCAGATTCTGATCTTGAGGTATGTCATTGCCAACACCCAAGTAAATAGCAAGGTGTCTTGATAGCTAACTGGTGGTTTTATATACCTGCTATGTAAACAGCAGTGGCTAAGGTATCAGATGCTTTTATTACTGCTTTCTTTTTTATGTTAACAATAGATAAAGTAGTATTTTCTCTCTTCTTTATTAACTATAGGTTAAGCAATAATTTGTTTTTTCTTCCCTATGAACTCTATGGCAAAGCATCTGTTTATTTCTCTCTAAAGAAATATAGTAAATTATGCAATTCTACTTGAACAAAATTCTGTTATGCTGCTCTGTCTCATTGCCTTTTTAATTAAGTGTCATACGAAAAATACTTAGTAAAATCCACTTGTTAAAAGGCACAAAAAAAAAGAATGGGTAAGACCTACTATTTGATAGCACAACAGGGTGACTATAGTCAATAATAACTTAATTGTACATTTTCAAATAACTAAAAAAGTGTACCTGGATTGTTTGTAACACAAAGGACAAGTGCTTGAGGGGATAGAGACCCTATTCTCTGTGATGTGCTTATTTCACATTGCATGCCTGTGTCAAAACATCTCATGTACCCCGTAATTATAGATACCTACTAAGTATCCACAAAAATTAAAAATACAAACAATAAAATAAAATAAAATCCACTTTTTTTTTTTTGAGACGGAGTCTTGCTTTGTCACCCAGGCTGGGGTGCAGTGGCATGATCTCAGCTCACTGCAACCTCTGCCTCCCAGTTCAAGCTATTCTCCTGCCCCAGCCTCCCGAGTAGCTGGGACTACAGGCACGTGCCACCAAGCCCAGCTAATTTTTGTATTTTTAGTAGACAGGGGGTTTCATCATATTGGCCAGGATGGTCTCGATCTCCTGACCTCGTGGTCTACCTGCCTCGGCCTCCCAAAGTACTGGGATTACAGGCATGAACCACCACACCCAGCCATAAAATCCACTTTGAAATGAAAGACACACTTGTATATATTGAGAAAGGAAAACCTGGAATGTTCTAAACTGAAATAGTAGTCATCTAATGAGACATATTTTGGTGGAGTTCAAAAGCAGGAGGGATTAAGTAAGAACTTAAAGGGTGGTAGATTTCATAGCCTTCAATCCACTGCAACTAAGTTTCTGCTTTTGCCAGAGTGAAATCTGATGGTTGGAAAACATTATTATTTTGGCAAAAAAAAAAAAAGAAAATTTTCCAGCAGAATCTATGTATATGAATATGTACTGGTATGAGTGGGAATGGGAAGAAGTAAAACAGGCTTGGGAGGCTTTTTGTGCTACCCCGAAGACCTTTTGGAAATTAATTCCTTCAGATCCCATTTTAAACACCTCAAGAGTATGTCTAAGAGCATGACTAATGTGTCTGCTTATGTTTTTAAATACCTAAACCCTGAAGACTTAAAAAACCTGGCAAGAACAATGTATATCCCATCCCTTTGATAACAGCTCAATAGGTAACATAAGGTGAATCGATTATGTAAGGTTTTAGTCTTTGGGTGCAATTTTAATACTTGGCTTGCTAAGAGTAAAACATAAGATTCATTATTTTAGTACTTCTCAATGAACAGAGATCAGAGGTAATGAAAAGATAAATGATATTTGATCAGTTGCTCATCTCTATCTCAAGTTATAAACAGACTAGTTATAACTCATTTTTTTTCATTTATTCAGAGCTGAGATTGAAATTCTATTACAGAATTAGAAAGGACATAGCTTATTATCTCTTTCTTATATTTATATTGACATTATAAATGTAATTATCCTCTTGTACCTCATCTGAAGTTATATCTGGAGAAAAATTAGGAGATACTCTTTGAAACAGTTGTGGTTTTTTTGGAAATAATAAATTCAGATTTTTCATTCATCTTCCATTTCAAGATGACTTTTTCATGTTGCAGTTAACTGAATAACAGCTTTCTCAGCCAAGGCAAAGACACATTGATTTGGTTCTTCCTTTGTAGAGAGTGTTCATCTGGGACTTGGATGAGACAATCATTGTTTTCCACTCCTTGCTTACTGGGTCCTACGCCAACAGATATGGGAGGGTGAGTACCAAGAGGCATCAGTTTTTAATTTCTTTGGAGTAAATATACCTCTAATTTGTTTATTGTCCAAATGAATATAATTTAACTTTAAGTAACAAATTTAAAACATAAATGGAAAAAAGCTATATAGTCAAATATATACCTAAGGTAAAAAATATGTAAATGAGCCAAAGAAGAGATTATTTTTAGGTCTTTGGCAATAAGATACACTTTATACAATTAAAGTCATGCTTATTCAGACCCCAGTGAATAAAAGTGATTAAATATTATCCTAGGATGAAACATTAAAATACATAAGTGATGTAGAAAGATGTTTTCTGTTCTCTTTTTTACTTTTCCTGTCTTTTTATTCCCTAACATTTAGTGGAGCAAATATTTCACTTTCTGTTGTCCTCAGTGATTAGCAGCTTTGATATTTTATCTTCAAAGCAACTGCTACAAATGTCTCTATATGTCCTTTGCTACTTGGGTTAAATTTATTTGAATGGTATGTAAGATTGATTCTCTGAAAGGCAGTAGGACCAATATGCCCGTATTAGAGTTGTACAGTACTTATATTGGTGTTATAGATAAAGAATAATATTATAGACCACTTTCTGTGAGTAGAACTTTGGTTTCCATGTTGTACATTTGGGTATCCCAAAAGTTTGGAATTTCTTTTCTGGCATATTGATGATTTCATAAGTCTTTCCCAGGCAAAAATGTTATTTAAAGTAGCTATAGGTAATTTCTCAAGTTATTCTGCTAATATTTCATTTCTCTTGTTTTAATCATTAAAGAAATAATAAGTCTTAGTTTTTTTAAGTTATTTGGAGCATTAGAGACTGAATTCTTATTATGTCTCAGTGACTCCAGCAGTTTATCACAATTAAGTGTTAGAATTAATACCATTAAAATGCACATATTGTTATTACAGATTTGACCACGTAGTTGTTCTTTCAACAAATACTTATTTTAACAAATACACACTGAGTATCTGCTATGGATATACAGTCTGGGGAATTTAGCTTCACAGCCTAGGTTTCCTTTTCATCATCTTAAAGGTACACCTAATCAAAAATAGGCTCGAGCAATAATATCCCACCATCTTACTTTCTGTTCCGAGATAAGATATCGGTAAAACACAATATGTCCCATCTTATTGTTCGGCAAATTCTCTGTGAGAAGACAACAAAAATGCAGATTATAAAATATAAGGCTATAGAATCAATCAGCCAAATGGTCTCTACTGCGTGATTAGCACATAGTAGGAATTCAAGAAACATTAGCTCTGCTTTTTCTTGTATTATTTCTTCTGTCAATACTATCATTGTTCCTATTTCTAGAAAAACTACTTAAAAACTAAAGATTAATATCTGAAATATCAACATGTAGTTAGTGGGCAGAACCTTGAAGATCTCCTTAACTGAGCCATTATAAAACCCCTACAACTGTCTGCTAAGGAGAACACTGGTGCATGTAACTCACACAAGAGTGTTGAAAAGAGTAGGCACTTAGAAAATGAGTATTTGAAAACCACCCAGAAAGTCTCAAATCTTTAAAAGCTCTCACTAAGGGCCAAATTGACACAAAAGAGAGTTATCTAAGAGTGTTCTATTAGCCAATGAAAGAGGCCAGCTTAGAGTTAAGGAGTTAGGCATCCCATGACCTACTGACCTCTCAGTCTTTGGCCATAAATTATTGGCTTACACATGGAATTTACACTTAACCTAGAAATACCTGGCTTCATGTAATTTCTCATTCATGTCTAGACCAAACACTCTCTAAATAATGTATTATAAATACCATGAGTTTAATTTTTTAACGTGTCATGGAACTTTGAGGTTTCATCAAATAGTAGTTAATTTGTTTGTTTGTTTAGCTTAGTTTTCCCATTCTAGGTCATGTGATAAAAAGGTTTATCTCATATAATTTCCAAAAGCCAAATTTATATATTCTCCGAAGTACAGACTATTTGAGTTTCTTAAATATAAGCTTATTCTTCATTGATAAGTTTATGGGCTGAGGAAGAACCTCAGAAAGCCAGGTTTCTGAGGAAGGTCTTCCTGCGTGTGACTTTGGGTCTGAATTCTGAATGGCCTGAAGTTACTGTGCAGTCATCAGGAGAAAGGGTGTTCTAAGCAGAAGAAACAGGAAGTGCAGAGGCAAGAAAGGCTTTGCTGTTTGATGGACAGAGGCCGATGGGACCACACTTAGTGGTAGAGATGGAGAGTCAATGAGATGTGGTCAGGGATGAAGGCAGGTTCCAAAGGGCCTCCCAGCCACACAGGGTCAACAGGGCTAATGCCGTGGGAAGTCATCGGGGGACCACAACGGAGGAGATGAGAAGATCTGATTTACATTTTTAGATTGCTTTAGCTAAGTGTTAAGAATTAATGGTAAGAGAAGAGAAATGGGAGTCCAGATAGGAGGTGATAGCAGTGATCTGATGCACCAGCAGTAGAGAGGGAAAGAATTTATTGGACTCTGGATTACATTGCAGGTAGAGAACTGGATTTAAAAATGATTTGGATTGATTGGAGTGGTGGGTAGTAAACAAGACAGAGAAGTGAAAGATGATTCCCACATTTTTGTCCTGGGCAACTGAGAAAATAGTCATATATTTGTTGAAATAGTATATTTGTTGAAATAGTAAAGAATTCAATTTGGAGGGAAAAGGGAAAGTTCAGTGTTGGACAAGTTTGAGATGCTTATTATAGAGAACTGCTTGGACCAGGCAAGGAAACCACTGGAAGGTGAGCCCAGGGCACTTGGGGGACTAGTCAGTACAGGAAATGGCAGATTCACAGTCAACATTGCATAGATTAGGGTTAGAGGCTCACCGGAGTCTCTGAGCTTGATTTCTTCCTAAACATTTTTTGAGCACCTTCCTTGTACTGAACACTTGTGGTCAGCCTGTTGTCTCATTGCCTGGAGGTGTCTTTTCCTGGCTGGGTGACTTTTGAAGATGTATGGTTTAGGATGTTGAATTATAGCTGGAAGCATGCAAGGAAGTCTACTTAATGCTCTCCTCATTAGAAATCATTAGAGTTGAGAAGAATTGGCTCTCAAATCTGATCATCAAGCTTTGTAAAAATGTGGTTCAACAAGGATTCTTCCAAACAGTAATAATAACCAAACTGATCAGAATGTCTTGAATTCCTTTTGTTTCCCCCAGGGCACTGAGGAGAAAAGTCTTAAGAGAGTTCAGTGACAAGAATTCTTTTTAGGAGCACAGATTTGGTGGTGTTCCTGGGCATTGTCAAGGGGAGCATGTGGCTGAGCCTTACTCTACACGTATATAAAGAATGAATGCCTGACAATGTGATCGCTGTTCTGTTTCTTAGGGAACCAGATACTTGAGAAGTAGCTTAGTCACAGTAGCTTAGGCAACTCAATGAGTAGGCCATTCAGTAAGAGGACACAGGATCTGGTTGATATAATGCAAAATTAGGGCATGTTACAGCAATGTGTACAAAAAAAAAGTTTGAGAATGTCCCACCTTCCATGTAATCCTAGCTGTGGGAAGAAGGCATGTTGGGTGTTATAAGAAAGTCTTGTTTTATAACAAAGGTGATAGGGACAAAGAAAGGGTGCTGGATACAGCACAGCCATGGCTGAGGAAAACAAATAACATGTCAGGAAATTGAAGAGCCTGTGAGTGCTATGTAAATTAGGATGTTTTAAATAGTATCTGTCCTAGCTGTTTTTGTTTAATGCATTTTTTAAAGTTGCTTTAAAACTAATAACAAATTCCAGAATTTCATTGAAGAAAACTAGTCTTGGGTTATTTTTCATTGAATGGTCTCCTTATAAGAAACAATGTAATTCAATTATTGTTATCAAAGTATATACCCAAAACTTATATTTCAAATCAAAATTGTGCTGATGTCTCAGGCATGATCCCCCTCCTGTGGGAGGATTACCCAAGATATCTACACCCAAGGGCCTGATTGTTTCAACACTATCGTTTTATTATTGTTTAACGCCTGTGTCTCATAGTGATTTGGGCTAGAATGGATCTTAAAAATATAGATGTTCACTTTTCATTTTCAACAAAAACCAAAACATAAACACTTAGATAGTGTAAAGCTTAACATGTTTAATCATAGGCCTTATTAAGAACATTCTATATGCCCGGCATTCATTCAATTCAACATTAATGCTCCGAAGGTGCTGTTATCAAGCCTATTTTATAGATGAGAAAATTGAAACTTGGGAGAGGTTAGAGACCCAATGTAAAAATTACTCAGCAGCATGTCTAGCATAAAAAAAGTTCAATAAATACCAGTTATATTTGAATGTAGGTGAAACTGCACTGTCAAAAAAAAAAAAAAAGAAACTTCCTGTGTAGTGGCCAGTGAGTAAAATGGTGGCAGTGTCCTCAAATTTATGAATTACAAGTATACGCTATGCCTAACAGTATGATAGAAAGAGGATCAGATTTGAATTCAAGTAGATCTAGACTCAAATCCGAGCTCTGACTTTTTACCTCTTTCACCTTAGGCAAATTATTGATTCTTACTGAGCCTCAATTTTCTTATCCATAAAGCCAGCTACTTGACTTGTGGAATTGTTTTAAAAATTAAATTGTATCATGAATTTGGCCCGGCATGGTGGTTTATGTGTGTAATCCCAGCACTTTGGGAGGCTGAGGTGGGTAGATCACTTGAGCTCAGGAGTTCAAGACAAGCCTGGGCAACATGGCGAGAGTCCATCTCTACAAAAAAAATTACAAAAATTAGCTAGGTGTGGTGGCATGTGCCTGTAGTCCCAGCTACTTAGGAGGGCTGAGGTAGGAGGATCGCTTTAGCCTGGGAGGTCAAGGCTGCAGTGAACTGCGATTGCACTACCGCATTCCAGCCTGGGTGACAGAGTAAGATCCTGTCTCAAAAAAAAAAAAAAAAATTAAATTGCTCATAAATGTAAAAGTCCACGCACAGAGTTGTATTAATGGCAACAACCGATAGTTAGAAAAGCATGTGTCACCTAACGAACTTGTAGTTGTTCTCTTGAGTATT